AGAACTTGCCCTTCATGAAACCAGCAAGGGATCCTTCGGCCAGGACACCAGCCTCGGTGAGGAGATATTCTATCCCTGATTCAGCCAAGTAGGTTCCTAGGGCTCCGAAATACGCAAGCTCTAGATGAAAGTTGCCAAGCATTACTATGACCTTATCAAAGGTTGGCGCTTGCAGGGCTTGAATGGAATATGCCTTCAGAGCTACAGCAAGGTCATAGGTAACGACCGCATATCCCTGTTTCGTCTCCTGCGAAACTTTTACAGAACGCATCATCGTTTCTTGTACTACGTCGTTTCTTGTCGGGGGCTGAGAGATGGGGTCCATATAAGCTATCGTAGTTCTAGGGAGGCTATCCGTCACATATTGGGAGAAAAAGCCAGTATGAAGGGGCAACTTCTTTGTTGAAGATTGAAGGAGCCACGTGAAATCCAACTTCTCCTGCTGAATCTTTGCTTTCTCCTTTTGCACTATCTCAGTGCACGCAGTCATGGTGGTTGATGGACCAAGCTTGAATTTTGCCTGTTTTAGCGACGTGTAGAACGGTGGAATCTTCTTTTCCTTCCCGCCGAAGCTCTTTCTTTTCCGCCCAGAAAGTGTCCCGGGTGACTTAGAATCTGATGGTTCGGGGACTGGCTCTGAAGGCAGCTCGTTTTGGTAGCATATTCCCACCGTTGCGTGAAGAGTGTCTTTACCATCAAGGGTCTCTGTATTGACGTCGTAGTTATCCCATGCTAATCCTGAAATGATAATTAAAAATTACATATATTGACAATGCTGAGAAATATTGATATTATCATCATCATCTTCATTATTATTATCATCAATATAATCATTATTCTTATTACCATTATAAATAACAGTAGCAAAAGTAGGAGCAGTATAGTAGTATAATTGCTTTTATGATATTCATCATCATAATAATCATTCTTACCTGTTCCTAATGCATCTAGCAAATGAAGGCCTGCTGGGGTTTCCCTATCACAGTTGGAGCATGTGTAGGCAATTTCTGTCTCAAGTCCCTTTACCTCATCGTAGCTGATGCAATGTCCAAAGCGATTCCTTAAGGTCTTTGATCCTGTCAGTGCTCCTAATCCCAACCCGATGGTTTGATGCTTCCATGGCTTGACATTCCCTCGACTGCAGTTAAAAATGGCATCCGATGACAAAGCCATTGCTTTTCTCTCAACCACATCACGACTTGATTCTACTCCTGTGTCTGCCTGTAATCCACCGACAAGGGTACGGAAGAAAAATAAAATCAGATCGGGAATCATAGGGGCATTTTCCTTCAGAGTGTGAAGTGATGTCGGTGACGGAGTTTTAGTCGGGGGCATTCCGAGAATCTCGGTGCGCAAAACCATTGCGGCACACCTGATTGCCTCAACCTTCTCACTGATTCCTGTCAACCTAGCAAACGCTTCTGTAGATGACAATGACGAATGGAAGATGACATTTCCAGCTTTGTTTGCTTGTTTGTCAACGGTAATATCTTTAAACCGCTCTTTTATCTTCGTTACCAGGCCTTGCACAGTATATCTGTCGATATCTTCTCTGTTCCCTCCAAGTGACAAGAATTCCTCCTTGTATAAATGGAAAAGGTCTGAAGCCAGCATAGGAGTTTTGTTTACGATTACCTCATTCTTGATGAATTGTGACAATCTCTCAAAGGTCTCAGTGTGCTTCTTCCGGGTGGTCGTGTCTTGATCATCGGTTGATTCTACTCTTATATATTCACGTCGACACGAATTGTGGTATCTTGCCTCCTTTGCAACTAAATCCTCTCCTAGCGCAAGAATCCTTGTGTCGTCTTTTTTTCTCGCGGCAAGAATGATTGTTCTGCTTCCATCTGTGGTCATACATTGGCTGAGGGGCTCATTTTTACGAAGTTTTCTCTTCCTTTTCTGGCCACAGAAAAGGCATTCTTCTTCAAGGACTCCTCTTGTATTGCTTAATGGATAACTAGAACTTGCGCGAGTTGCTTTGTAAGGCGGTTCGGACGACCCATGCAATGAAGATGCCTTTTTCTTTACGGCACAGAAGCGACTTAGACAACTTGAATGGTAATACTTGCCATCTGGTTTCTCAGTGGCGCTGATCTCGGCGGATTGACTGAAAAACTGGTCATGTTGAAGTAATACTCGGCGTTTGGCAGCATCTTTTACTCTGTCCCAGTTGTTTGCTTGAAAATCCTTCAAATTAGAGTTATCTCCTTCTGTTCCTTTGCAGATTAAGCAAGTCGATGTGTCACTTGCCATGATCCTTAAGGAATAAAAGAGATAATGATTTTGTACAGATCATAATTAAGTTAAGATAATGTGAAAAACCACCAACACATCCTTCCAAAATTTAACATCCGGTAATACCATATGAATTGTATTCTTTCAGATATCAACATGATCAACCCACACATGGGGTGTTAGTATGGAATTGAATTAAAATTAATAGAAAACTTTTATCCACACTGATTTTATTATTTTTTGTCCGGTTAAAACAAAAATAAGAACATCAAATCATCAATGTTTTAGCCATCTCCACCTTTAAAACGTAATGTGCCATAAAGTAACAAAGCTTCGTAAGAGGCTATTGCTGTTGTTTTGGGGTTTTACGGAGTTGTCATTCAAATATATATATATTTGCAAGTGCAACTGTCCTAGATTAAAGACCAACATATCTATATGGTGTGTCACAATTGATGCCTCTCTCTAGAAGGCAGCGATATAGGCTCTGGTTGATAACTTAGGGGAGGAAGGGGCTTTGCCAAACAAATATCCCTCATTCATCTCCAGTCCAGGGTTCTCAGCTATTAAAACTTTCACAGAGGTTTCGTACTTTACAGTTTGTTTCGTTTTGTTTTTTTATGTTTTCGTGAAAAGGTACCATAAAAAGAGCTCCTTGTGAAAAAGATTCAAATTTGTAACAAAGACTTTTGGCTGTAGAGTTAAAAAGCAAGGTACTTGATTGGTGGTAGCAAAAAGTTGATGAAACATTACTGGCAATCCCAGTATCATTGTGAGGTATAATAAATTAATATTACCCCATAAATAAACGACAAACTGAGGTGATATCTTATTGAATGTGAAGTCTTTTGAATGATAAGCATTGGGCAAAGACTAGCCGAATCATGTTTTGTAAACAATGTGCCATGAGCGGAGACCAGTGGTGATGATTGAAATGAGCCAGGTCACTTCATAAACAATGTTGTGTGAAGCTAATTTGTGCTCCCTGAGCATACTATATAATGTTTATCCTAGCCTCCATCGTTTTACCATTTCTGACAAACGGTATATGCTATTTGAAAGACTTGATGAAGAATGATTATAGATTAGATGAATCGAGTACTAAATCAGTAATTTTCAACTTCAAATGATTTAGGCTTTGATCATATTTGACAGCCTTTATTGTTACAGGCCTACATGGGAAGAAAAAAAAAAGTCTTATTCTTTCGAGCAGGACTTTTGTCTCAAACTTATTACAACTGAGTCTACCTTTCCTTGATGAACTATATGAGGAGAACCAAATAAGACTAGAATGACATATCTTAGTTTACCCAGGCACAAGTTTCATAACGGTCCATCTCTAATATCTGAATACCCTCTTAATCAAAAGTGTAATCATATTAACCATTCCACTCATTACTCATACACTAATTAAATGAATAAGTGATCATCTACTTGACTTGGTCAGATAAAAGATGAACCGCTATTAAATATATTTGTTAAGGAGTTGTTCATAAACATCGGGGTAGTTTATTCATTTGTATTACATGAGTTTCACACAGATTCTTACCTGACATCAGTTGTCATCAGATGATATGCTATTCCCAATAGTTTTGGGAGACCGTGACTCCAGCAGGCTTCCAGCGAATCGACAGTGATTGGTAATGACAAATATCATTGGCGATGAGGGCGCTTTTCATTGGGCGAAGATAATTCACTTTCCAGCAGTTAAACTTTATCTTTGAATACATCAATGGTTAATTATCATTTCCTTGATATAAAACACTTCAAGTAAAATGTTTGTAAAATATACAACCCCGTATATTCGACTTTCAGCAACATATATGCAAATTTTACCAAATATGTTATGTCGTAATTGCATAACTTTGAATAAATCATGATGGAAATGACCACGGGACCACTTAACTACAAGTTTGAGCATACTTTAAATATATTTAATTATAAAACAGAGGTGTGCAATAAGTCAAAAATTAACAATAGTGAAAATAGAATAACATTTTTAAATCACAGCACTTGCGCAAAACTGACTTTAAAATTTTACCTCAAAACTCTAATTTTTGACAGATTTTCCTGATAACCATGTTACTTAAATGGTCAGAAAAAACCTTAAGTATGCAAATATGTTTAACATCCATATATGTTCTGAAAAGTGGGGAACTTGCTCCGTATGTAAACTAAGTTTCAGAGCTATCGGGCAATTGAAAAGCTATTTAAAGTAAACTTCAATATTTGAACCCGAAATTGAGTAAAAAATCGGACAAATTGGCCCGATGTCGACGACGTCGCTACTTAAGGCTATCGTCGTAATCATCGATTTCGGGGATGCAAACACCGGGAAAACTCTTTGTGGTGTATTGTATACTATCGGCTAGTCAAATTATTAAAAAAAAAAAAAAAAAAAAACCCTCAAAATAGGTAGGGGACATGTTTTATGGGATGGTGTCATGTGTACCTCTCTGTACATTGTCAAAAATGGAACTTCCGGTAGTGACGTCACAAATTGTGTGATTTTGGCGGGAAGACCACAGCTCAGACCCGGCAGCAATCCATTTTCGTGAGGTCTAGGGTCCACCCCATCGGCCTATGGGGTCAGTTGTTCCGGCGCTTTTCCCTTGAATAAATCTTCTGGGCTGCCGGACTATTCTTTAGCACTCCCATTGCCCGACGTGATAACCAGGTCCCTAGTCTCGGAACCATACAACGTTACTTGGGAGATATCAAAGGATAACCCTGTCCTCTGGGCCTTTCTACCCGACTTAATCATAATAAATATCTACTTGTAAATATATGTACACAGATAAGTTTCAAGGTATTTGCAATGCAAAATGGATCGTGTGAAGAAGGCAAGACTTATTAAGAAAACGGCAAGCTTGTGAATTACTGGCAGACTTCTACAGTTTTACTCAAACATGATAGATATATCTCAAGAGTTGGAAAAAGATGAAAGTTGTAAGTCAAATCTAGTCATGCACTCCATTGATGAAGCCCTTGTAGAATGCAGATGGATACTGCTTCCTAATACGAAGTACCGCACATGATGGAACCACGCGTCTGTTACCAGCACCCAGATAGTGGTGCACTAGATAGGTATACTGTCTATAAGCGTAATGGCGGTAACTCTGATTTCCTCTTGGGATGTCATGTGGAAATAGATCCTTCTCTCGGTTCATGCAGGTTGCCAGTACTACAGTATTAAGAACGGCATCATGAAATTGCTGCTCTGTGGTGAAGCAGTGTTTCAAGCGACAGCATTTGTTCTCAATTTGTGTTGGCATCTGTTGACGATTACCGCACCTACACCATGATGGAGTTGGGGTATCTTGAGGTGCTGCGGCTGGATCACTATCTTGCCTGCTTGCAGTGCCTGACTGACTCCTACTTGGGACTGGTCTGTCAGATTCCTCCACTGTTGGCTCATTCTGGTTTGCACGGTCATAAGAATCATGGATGTCCATGTATAATTCTGGAAATCTCGATAGAAGATTGGTTATTATTTCCTGCTGATCTTCTTGGCTCAGCTCCTCAATGAATTTCTAAAGAAATGGAAAAATACAAGAATAATTATTTATTTTATTAGAATAAAATTGTATACAAATATGGTTACCATCTGAATCTGAAAAGAGGCATTCATGTAGACTGGCAGATCCTCGAGACTGAAACCGAGTTGATACTCATCACAAGCTGGACCGCATATTGGAATCCTTGACAAGGCGTCAGCATTGGCGTGCTTAAGGCCTTAACGGTTGTTGATCTGCATGTCATACTGGGTTAGTTCCTCGAGCCAGCGGGCCAACTGACCATCTGGCCTCTTAAAGTTAAAAAACCAACGCAGGCTACTATGATCGCTTCCAACAAGGAAAGGTTTACCCAATAGATATTGGCGATACTGTCTAGTAAACAGGATCACTGCAAGCAGCTCTTTCCTAGTTACACAGTACCTGCATTGCTGACCATTCAACCCAACACTTCCATACGCAATCACCCTTTCCTCGCCACCCTGGACCCGCAACAGCTCTGCTCCTACCGCATTATCTGAAGCGTGTCACCACCAGTCCCCACTAAGACATACACATAAATAACAGCATCTGCACAAATTTTGTATGATTATAAAATCACCATATACTAAGCTTCTTTATTAAAGCACATAAATTAAATATAATAATAATATAACCAGGAGTGAACAAGTTCAAGGCACCTGACACATACAAGAAAATACGTGAAAAGGCTGGTTGAGATGAAGCGCCGATGTTCACATGAACTGAATGGCCTGCTTAATGTTGTCCGACTGACTCAGTCTCTATACATAAGACATCACTGTCCACTTTGCTACGTTGGGTCGGCTTGCTGTGATGCTGGGTGACCTTCATGTGACCCCTAGTCCATGAAGCCGTTGAATGCTAGCCCGGCTAGCGAGAATCCAGTTCGGCGATTACTAGCGGCCTGGTGTCCAGGTAAAGCCCAAAGGAACGGCTGTAAAAAGGGATTTACTCTTTTTGTTAACCCCTTCAAAACTAACAAACGTAAGCCATAATACAGATTATAATATATACATACATGATAGAGTAGAGAAATGACAACAGCCCCATCGCCTTGTTCCCAACCTTCTGATAGTCATTCCATGTAAAACTGTCAACATAAATGAGCCTCAGCTTGTGGCTCTCTAATTACATAATGATATATGGTACTTCACACTTATTTTTACTGATGCATAACATCTATAGTTACATAACATATTCAATGATCCCTTTCAATATTTAACTTCAAGAGATATGCATCCATGGTAAAATAAGGTTAACTATAGAGTTATTGATTAATTTTAACCTTTTCTTCTTTAACTCTAAGATCTTCAAAATGATTACTTTATCAAACACCGTCAACATACATAGATATGTATAAGGGAAATCATTGTAGTAAAAATCAAACAGTCATATTTGAACTTACGTTATCTCCTCTGTACGTGGTCCAAAAACTGCAAGGCGGCATTGGCGTGGTCCTGTAGAGGCTTGGGTTTTCTCTTGTGCCTTATTAAGGATATTAAGGTAAATTCTGAGAACAAACACCCATTAGCCTGACACGTTTCTCCAAGCTCACACCACGCCCTATGTACAGCTCACTCTCACTCAGTCTTTATGCTACACAGACTTATAGCGCACTGCCTACATGGTGCGAACCATGTCTTCAACTCACATAACAATACAATATGCAACTACATGATTGAACGCATCGCATTCCTTTCCCTAAACAGCTGATTGCGGTTTACTGGCCTTTATACCCTGCGCATTTTGACAAAGCGTCTGTGTCTAAAATGAAAGGATCTTTCGAATTTGGTAAGGTAAGTACAGGCGCGGACACTAAAAGCCATTTAACAGCTTCAAAAGCACATTTGTGCTCTGCCTTCAAGTGGAAAGGATGCTTGCCAGTCACTCCGTAAAGCGGAACAGCTAAAGCAGCATATTTCTTTAAGAAAAGACGATGGTAATTAACTAAACCCAAGAAACGTTCTACCTCTCTAGTATTATGGGGGACAGGCCAATTTTCCACGGCCTGAATGTGTTCTGTAATTAGGTGCAAGCTTGAATCACCAACATTGTGACCTAAAAACTCTACCTCTTTTCGAAACAAGGCACACTTCTTAGGTTTAAGCTTAAACTGATATGACTTAAACCGCCCCAGGACTTCCTGAAGATTTTCAGATGGTCATCGAAAGAATTTCCCAACACCAATGCTAGGGCTGTGCCCCAATTGAGACCATGTAAAAATCAAAATCATAGCTCTGGTAAACGTAGCTGGAGCATTACACAACCCGAACGCCATTGTAACAAACTCAAATAACCCTTGTTTTGTAATAAAAGCCGTTTTCTCTATGTCGGATTCTTCAACTCGAATTTGCCAATAGGCAGGAGTCGCATCCAGTTTGGAAAACCAAACGTTTCCGGCTAAGCTGTCCAGACATTCCTCAATGTTTGGTAATGGGAACACATCTTTCTTAGTAACCATGTTCAACTTAGGGTATTCTAAATACCATCTAACAGAGCCATCTCTTTTCCTGATCAAAACGAGAGGAGAAGCCCATTCTGAGATAGAAGGCTGTATCACTCCAGCTTTCAGCATCTTTTCTAAATGGGCCCCCTTTTCGTTGGCGAAATTGATGGGGGTTCTTGGCATCTTCTGTTTGATTGGGCGGGCATCCCCGGTGTCTATCTTGTGGGTGAGAGTGGTGAACTTGCCAAGGACGAGTTCGACCTTGGCAACTTCCTGATAATCGTGTAACAGGGCCTTCAGCTTAGTTTTTTCCTCCAGGGTCAAAAGAGTCTCTGATCTATCCCGCAGATCTTGGGAGGTGGGCAGGGCAGGGATGCGCTGCTGCATTCACCTCAACTTTCTCTTTATCTTCGGGGGCAGTTCCCCACGCATGGCCTTGTCAATTGCCACCTCGGTTCTTTTCCCCTCCTTTTTCATTCACCCGACGATTGTCCAAAGAGATGGATGGGCTTGCCCCACCTCTCTATTCCATCTGCTGTGGAAACCTGGAAAAAATGTACTTTGAATGAACTAGAGCAATTCAACTGCGAGCATGCAAAATATATATCTGTTCCTTAGTGATGGTGGACTGTATAATTATAATTACAAGTTGTATGCAAGTTTCACCCCGGCTTAAAGTTATTTATCTTGGCAATCCTGAATCAGGTACTGTTGTTGTTCTCGAATTTCATGTTGGTAATAAATAGGTGTTAATCACTGGCAAGAGTATGTCATTTTGAAATTCATTTAAGCTTCCACCTGAAAGGGGCTGCAGGTTGAACAGCTCACAGAAAAATAACACTTAATCACATAAACCACCACTCAGAATCCTAGCTCCTGCAAACAACATATGTTTCCAATTGGCTGGTGCCCAATGGTTGCTTGAGACATCCATTGGGTAACAAAGTTGCCGCACACACAGATTACTGCTACTTTTAACATTGTTCCAACACACTGCTTCTGTAGCTCTGCAATGTGCCTATCAACACAGCACCATTCACCAATTTCCTTTCTCATCACAGAAATATTAGAACTAAGAGAGTCAAGTTTTTCAATAATTGTGTTAGAGGTCTGTTGAAATTCAGCACGACTTACCAAATCATTTTGAGTCGACATACTGGAGACGGCAGTATCATGCAAAGCATACGTTTGTGTGTGTAGTGGTGTAGTGGTTTCGGCGTCTACACGAGTCGGGGGAACTGCTTCGCGCACATGCTTGCGCAGATCATTAGATGGAAGAGTGTTCTCTTCATTCACATGCAAAATTCCAAAGTGCAGAGCAATCCTTCTCACAATGGTCTCCCTATCACTCAAGGTTGCATTTGGTTTGATAGGGATCCCACATTGGATCATCAGGTCCATGTCTTCCAGTTCAATGGTCCACATGTCCTCCTCCTCTTTCGATGCTCAATCTTGCTCTCTTCATCATGTCCCGTACAGCTCTCCTGACCATTGGTCTGTCTCGCCTGAGGTCATCCATCTCGCGGTGATTCTTCTCCTGATCTCCTCTTTTGTAATGCCATGCAAACTTACCAAGATCTTACACACCTCACTGTGCTCTCTTAATTCTGATGTAAGGAATAACATGCCGCACAGGTAGCATGGCAGGAGATCTTGGTTGGAGGGAGGGGTGTTCTCCTTTAGCGGGATATTCTTTTGTATTGGTCTTAAATAGATCTTCTGGGAGCTCAGGAGTTCTAGTTCCTGAGCAGAGCAGAGGCCTGTGTGCACTACCTCCAATATGGTCCTTGACCGGGTTCTCATGGTCATTAGCTCGAACCCCAATTGCAGCTCCTCCTTCTGATAGGCACTGTTGTCAAGAAGACTAAATAAAGAAAATCCCAAAGCGCTGCTGCAATCGCCTCCACTTCCTCTTGATTTTTTTTTTTTTTTTGGGGGGGGGGGGCTGTCCCCACGCATGGCCTTGTCAATTGCCACCTCTGTTCTTTTCCCTTCCTTTTTCATCCTACACACTAATGTCTAGAGAGATGGATGAGATTCTTTTCAAATTCTTTTGAATGGGTCGAATGTTAATTTTCTGTGAGCTCAGGAATTGTAAGTCCTCAGCACAGCAGGGGCCTGTGTGTACCACCTCCAAGATGGTCCTTGACCATGTAGGTATGTTACAACAACAAAAATATATTAAAAAGCATGCCTGTTAGTTATCCCATCAGATAGAGCTTGCCAATACCTTTTATTTGATACCTAATATACTTTCATATCTTAAACAAAACTTATGGACATTTTTATGTTTGGAAATTGACCTTTTGTTCTCTCTTGCTATAAAGAAACTATCATCTTTTCCCTTCTTCACCATGTCATAGAACGAGCGGTTGGGTGCAGCCCCGTCTGACGCCAATGCTCTAACATGGAAGCCTTGGAAGTTCCAAGAGCTCGACTGCTGTGAGAACTATTCCATAGAGTTGATCGCTAGTCACCCCAAGCGTGGAAAAGTATACCACTGGGGCTTGATAATGTAACACGCTGACCCAAACTGAAACAACATTTCATGTTCATATGGGCTCCCCTACTTTTTCAAAAGCAGTCTCTAAAACTAAAAAATATATCCACCATGCATATCAATTCAATAAATGTAATATACATGTACAAGTACAACCTAATACTTAAGTTACCAAAACTCTAACAAATGTCTTGCCGAACTTTAAATATCAACAATTTTCAAGTTCGAATAAAGGAATATTCCAGCTATTCATAAGTGATAAAGCTAGAGCTTCACCTGCTCTACTCCTACATGTACTGTTATCCCTCCTATCAATATATAAAATACCGGTGTCTTTGTATGCCATCACTATGAGGCTCCATCCAACCAGCCAAAATTAAATATGAAAGGGAGTATGCACTGTTCCAAACACAGTTTTATCACGACACCCTAGAATAGAAGAATTCCTTTCCCCAAAACAATTTAACTTGAATACACTAAAAGTATTCCATTTCAAGATCATTTCAACAAAATTACCCTAAACAAACACAATGTAGCTCCTGACAACACTTCACATATAGCTACAAACATTCATACAATATACACAATCGCTACAACTCAAATCTATGTCCATATTTACAGGTTTCCAGACGTCCATGTCCGATCAAGTTGTCCCAAAACAGATGTAGAGAAGCTGCTCAGAAAGCCAGGGCTTGCACTTGCAGTGATGAAATCCTGCCGATTACGCCATTTTGTAACACGCAGATCACACGCGGAAACTGGTAGAGAAGACACATCACCATTCTTTGTGTTGCAATTCGTTGTATTTCATGTACAAGGCAATTTAAAGTTAAACCATACACCATAAAACAGTTCAATTTTGACCTGTTACAATAAGAGTAGCATATTGCCCTGATCATTAATGTGAGCACATGGCTTGCGATAGCTGGGGATGCTTGACCTTCCAGGCAACTCTTGCTATAGGCTTCAAGTTCATCGTTCAAGGTTCCAAGACTTCTGAAGCCTATAATCTGGCCTGTGGAATGAGAGTACACTAACCCCTCACTTGTTTTCATCTCATCAAACGTAAGAGTGATGTTCTTTTGGTGGTCCTTTAGAGCTGTTACATTAATGTCATCACGTACTCTTTTTAGAAGATCTTTATTAAAGCCTGGTTCACTTGTTGTAAATCTTGTATATTGCTTCAGGGTTCTTTTGTGTGGGAAAATGAGCACCCCAGATGATCGAAGAAGGTCATATGCCGATGAAGACTTTGCCTCTAAAGCAATACATAATCTCAATATTGATGGATGCCATCTTCTGGCTTGGGGATGTTCTTGTGAGTTTTTAATTTGCTCATCCCACAAAAGTCTCATTGGTGTGTCGGCCGAAAAATGTTCATGGACTGTTGCAGTTTTGTTGTTGAGGATTTGTACAAATGCCACACTGCTTCTGTAGCTCTGCAATGTGCCCATCGACAGCACCATTAAAATCAGAGCATTTTTCATATTCATATTTCGTAATGTCATGCAAACTTACCAAGTTCTTACACTATTATGTTCTGTCAATGTTCAAAGTTGATGTTCAGCGAAATAAAGATGACAAATAAAGACGTATTCGTAACTTTAAAACTACATGGTGGTAGCATGGACTTTATTCGATGAAGGCATCGATGGAAACTGCGCGCGGTACATTGGGCAATGCGTATACATAAAATGACAAGTCAAGACATGCATAGTCTTAATTTCAGACGTCATACATAACATTCCTCCCCCTTTTAGTGAATTACATGGGTACATCAAAATGAAATACATGTATCAAACTGGCATGCAGACTAGGCAGAACTATATAACAATATGGTCTTATTTTCTCAAAAAATGTTTGTATAGAGATATGACACTGGCAAGACAGGAATGTACTCGCACAACTTGATTCTATTTTAAAAAAATTCTATTCCATGTATAACATAAACTAGCAACATTGCTTGGATGCATGTAAATACAACAACACAAAATTTTCACTGTTATAACAACCTATTTTTTACTGATCTAAGTTTTACTTGAAGGTTGTTTGACACCTAAGGAACAACACTTTTCCTCCTTGAAAATAGTCAACATATGCATTATTTTATGCATTACTTTATGCATTACTTTATGCATGAAAACTTTACATGGTAAGAAAATAAAACAAACTCCTTGTACTTTGATACAAAACTGATTGGATCCAAACTTTATCAACTAACTTATCTCCTGGCATAATAAAGAACAGACCAAAATAAGTGACATTTTCTCCATGAAAATACATGTAGTATTGTTGATAAAATGTGGAACAATTTACACTGTTACTTTTAAAACATCAACACTTGTGATGAATGCACCAAATTAGCTTTCATCGCTAAAGAAAAATGATTTTTCCTTTTTGATCATTGCCTTAATTATGTAACACATAAATAATACCTGTTGCACTTTTGCAGACTTATACAATAAAAAATTAAAACACATTTAACCCCATAACAAATAGAGTTTGATCTACAATAGTTTCACTTGGCATAAATACAATTATCTTGCAAAATATTTCTTTGACAAAATAGATTTGTACCTTCCTATTTTGTATCGGTCACTGCTATACAGGATGAATGTCTGTTATGTTTTACCATATTTCTGATCGTATACACATTATAAACATTTATCAATTCATATGAGTTACAAACTGTGAAAGTAATATATAATCCAAAACTGAATTGCTTTTCTGGAATGTGCTTTTAACCTACTGATAAATAATGAAATCATCATATTTTGCAGGTGTTTTTGTGTTTCTTTGTGAAACTCTTCTTGCAGTTTCTTGTGTGTCAGTATTGGGGATTGAAACTGTAGGGGCAACAGCATTACTTTCATGTGACTCTTGACTA